GCCCAGCTAATTTTTTTGTATTTTTAGTAGAGACAGGGTTTCACCATGTTGGCCAGGCTAGTCTCAAACTCCTGACCTCAGGTGATCCACCCGCTTCAGCCTTCCAAAGTGGATTACAGGCATGAACCATCGCACCCAGCCAAATCTTTAATGCTAGATCCCTGCCTCCTTTTTGGCTCTAGGTGGCACCTTAAGCTCAGGTTCACCTTGGCTCTAGTAAATGGTCAGAGCACTGCCTGTCCCAAATAGGGGAGGTCCCAAACGGATTATCCTGGCAGTGAGGGAAGGCTGTCTAGGGGTTCATGCCCAGGAGACCTGGGGGACATAGCTCCTACAGCCACTCTTATGTCTTCTTTGGCTGAGTTACAGAGCAGAGTCCCAGCTCCTCTGTTTCAGGGATATTTCAGGGATATGTCTGTCTTCAGGGGTATTTCTGCGTTCAGGAAGTTGTGATACTACCCGCGGGTTAAGACAAGGACTGGTTTCTGGCTAGGAAACCCAAGAAAGTGGGGAGTCTGACTACTTCAGTTTTACTTTTTCCAGCGTAGAAACCGTAAGTTGAGAGATTTTCCAAACAGTGGGTGCCTGGCAGATTGAGGGGAAGGGCATTGTGGATGCGGAAGTTCGATTCTCCTACCATCTGCTCAGAGTGTTTCCACTTCTCGGTGGCCTTGGGAACGGACTCATCCTCATGCTGGAGTTCTGCATTGTTGCGGGTGCAGACCTCAGTGCTGTATATTTCTTTCCGTTTCTTTGTTGCGGGGAGAGAAGCCAGCTTGCCTCTATGCCACCATTTTGGAACAGGAAACTCCTTAAGATTCTAAGTTTAAAAACAATTTTGGAGTTATTTATTCCAATAGGTATCAAGATGTTAGAAGTTAGTACCTTTGACACATATGGAATATTGAGTTTGATGTGCTATAGTTCTGACCCATGTGACCCTTATCTTGATTCAAGGGTAACAATATACATCTCAAAGCTATTGGTCCCAGACATACTCCATTAAGTCTTCTAACTCAGCACTTGTAATACTATAGGACTTATTTACAAATGTGTCTGTCCTTCTCTACTAGACCAAAGGGCTCTGAAAACAGGGACTATCTTTGTATTCTTAGGACCTAGGACTTTTCCTGGAATTGGTAAGTATTTGCTGAATGAATAAGTAAAAGAATGAATGACTAGACAATTGAAAACAGTTGTAGCTCAAGGAAAGACATAAATTACTGGATATCAAGACACACTACTTGGCAGTTCTACTTTTGACAAAATTGGAAAAAACCCCAAAAACCCACTCATATAGCTTGGAAATAATCACCTCTCTGAGACCAAACAAGTCTTACAGCAACACTGACCAACAAGCAGGATCTACTGTCCAGTGTCTTGGGAAGAAACATCTAGTAGGTGATATAAACCAGAGAAGAAAGTAATCAGCCTCCATCTTGGTTTCAGAATATGATTCTGTTCATTGAAGTCCCTCTTGCTGACTTGCTTACCAGACAGACTATGGACCTGATCTGAACATGTACTATTTTCTGCATCTCTCTGTATTTGGCTACTTGTCTGCTTGGACTTTTGGAACATAATTGCTTTTCTTTCACGCAGATGCTCTCTTTAGGCTTGACTCTTTGCCATAGGAAACTTCACGTTACTTCGCTGAGCCTCAGATTTGCTCATCTTTCATATGGGGCTAGAATCATACATGGCAAACAGGGCTGTTGAGAATGAGGCACATCTGTTAAAACACTGAATATTTATTCATTCTCAAATATTTATGGAGTACCTGTCCATAGATACAGTAATATATGAGATACACTCCTTGCCCTCCAGGAACTCACTGCTGAGTTAATCAGATAGAGAAGAAAAAGGGCAATGACAATACAGTGTATTAAGGAAGAAGCTATGAGGCATATACAAATTTCTTGGAGATTACACAGGTGGAAATAGTTTACTAAAATCTGGCTGTTCAAGAGCAGTCTAAAGGTCTGCTATCCTGATGTGCAGCCAAGAGCCTCTTTGCCACAGCCTACCATGAGGCCAAGAGCCCAGCTACAGCTATATAAAGATGAAGGGAAAAGACAGCACAGCAGCCGTAGCAACCCGAACTTCACATTAAAGGCAGGCCCAATAGGAAGCACACATCTTACCTCTCCTCTGCGAATATGGATGCTCCTTATAATTCGCTCTAAGAAGCCAATCTGCTGTGTGAGACGAAGACTATTTTCCTGTAATTGCTTATTTTCTTTATCCATGTAAAGTACCCTAAGAATGGCATAAATCAGTGGCATGATTAGAAATTTCTGTATCATTACTAAAAACCCAAAACTACATTCCCACTGGCTCTGGATCTTAGACCACTGTCCAGATTTTAGAAGCAAGTTTGACAGAATAATTCCCACCATATTCCAAGACCAAGTGTGATATTAATACTGAGTGTCAACTTAATTGGATTGAGGGATACAAAGTATTATTCTGGGTGTGTCTGTGAGGGTGTCACCAAAAGAGATTAACATTTGAGTCAGTGGGCTGGGAAAGGCAGATTCACCCATAATCTAATCAGCTTCCAGTGAATATAAAGCAGGCAGAAAGATGTGAAAAAGAGAGACAGGCCTCGCCTCCCAGTTTGCATCTTTCTCCCATGCTGGATGCCTCCCGCCCTCGAACACAGGACTCTGAGTTCTTCAGTTTAGGGACTCAGACTGGCTCTCCTTGCTCCTCAGCTTGCAGACAGCCTATTGTGGACCTTGTGATCATGTAAGTTAATACTTAATAAACTCCTCTTTATATATACACACACACACACACACACACACACACACAGTCTCCTTTACATATACATACATACATATATATACACACACACATATGGGAGTGTGTGTGTGTGTGTGTGTGTGTGTGTATATATATCTCCTGTTCTGTCCCTCTAAGAGAACCCTAATACACGAAGTAAAAGTTAATAAGATTTTGGGCTGTACATGGTTATTAAATACATGTACAAGAGTATTAATTCTAGCCCTTGAAAAATTTAAGGAAGGATATGATCCCATTTAGGGATGGGAATGAAACAAGAGAGGCTCTGTATCCCTTCAAATATTGTAGCTACATAGCTTGTATCTGGTTCTGTTCTCATACTGATCTGCTTCTGATTTCTTGTGAAGTAGAAATAGTAGTAGCAGTAGCAGCAACCATGTTTCAAGTACTTGCCATGTACTTTATGCAATGTAACCTACCCACACCATAAGCACTTAAAACTTTTCATGTATTAGCTCATTTAATATGCATAGCAACCTGATGAAATATAAACTGTTGTGACAAATCTGAGCCTCCGTTTCCTTATCTGTGAAATGACGAAATACTCCTTGGAAGAAACTTACTCTAAGGAAAACATTCAAGTTCAATCCAGGCGATTGTGTCATCAGTAGGGCAAGGTAGAAAGATTATTCATGTTAATGCAAAGGTAATGAGTTAATTGTGTTAGATCCTGACTGTCAGAAGCTATGACAGTTTGAGAAGAGCAGTGATTTATATAGGACATCTAAAAGGGAGACACAGAGAGTAAAAGATCATCAGAGATTCTCCAAGCCTGCCCAGAGATGTGTGCCCAAAGGAGTGGACAAGAACATTCCAGTCTGCTTGGCAGTCCTCTCCCCAGATTATGGTGCTATGGTCTAGGGCCAGGCTGCTGAGGTCCACATGCTGCTCTGTCATTGACTGGGCTGGGTGAGTTCCCTCACCTCTCTAGACCTTGGCTTCCTATCTGTAAAATAAGGCTAATAGTGCCTCTCTTCTGGGATTGGTGTTAGGATTAAATGAATGAGAGAGCTAGCATATAGTAATTGCTCAGACAAATCTTAATCATTCCAATTATTATTGGTGACATTATTTGTTAACATCAACCCACTCTCTTTGATTATAATTAAAGTCTCCTATGAAGAAG